TCTAGTTTATGTAAATTAAAAAAATAGTAACGAGTAGTTTACTCCTCTAAATCGAAGGAATGAAACAAATATCAGACATTTAAACAATTGAATATAAATAAATGATTAAAATTCACCTTAATTTATTTTTAAGATTTGCAACCTCTCTGGTTAGCTCTTCCTGAGATTCAAGCATATCATCCATTTCTCTTTGCGCTTTCCGCTTCATGGCCTTATGCCTGCTAATTTCTTCTTCAGCTTCATCCAGCTGTCTTTTCAAAGCCTTCATTTTAGCATTTACTTTCTCTGCTTGTTCCTTGTATTGGTCTGAATTCCTCCTTTCATCTTCTAATTGTAAACTCAACTCTTTCAATTTCTTCTCTAATTTTCTGTTAATCTTTTGCTGTGCAAATCGTTCCTTTGCTTCAATTTCTAATTGCTCATCAAGATTATTAATCTTTGATTCCAATTGTTGAATGGTAGCTTTGGTCTTTGCTCTTTGAGCAGTTTCTAATTCTGTAAGTTTTGCTTTCAATTCCTTGTTTTGTCTTTCCAATAATAATTTGTGCGATTCCAATTTCTGTGTAGTAGATCTTTCAGTTGTTAAATCATTTGTTAGCTGTTCGATAGTAATTTGAGCTTTTCTGGCTCTATCCATTAATAATTCAGCATTTGATTGTTCTTCTTCTAATTCTTCTTCTAGTGTTGCAATTCTAGCTTCCAATCTACGTTTCTCATCTAACATTAATGTACCCTTATTTGTATTGTTATTGAGTTCCTCTTGTAATTCATCTCTTTCATTTTCTGCCGCTCTTCTGGCTCGTTCACTACTAGCATAATCTTCAGTCAGTTGCATCAAATCTGCCTCTAAACTTTTTACCTTTCTCTCAGTTTCTTTAGCACACGCTGCAAGTTCATCTCTAGCAGCTCTAGCCTCCTCGGTTTCTCTAGTGCAATCCTTTATTTGCGCTTGAAGTTTCTTCAGTTGTTTCAAGGCATCTTCTTTCACCTTGTTATGCATCTCTAGTTGTTGCTCAATATCTTTATAATCTGCTTCCATTTTCTTGCGTTGCGCAATAGCGGCAGCCCTCTGTTTCCTTTCATCCTCTAATTCCGCTTCTAGGTCGCGTAACTGCTTTACCAACCCTCTTCGTTTCTCCTCAGCCTGTTCTTCTTTGGCTTGCAAATCTCGTTCGAATTGAGCTCTTAGAGCTTGCATATTTACTTCTAAACGCAATTTCGCGTCTTCTGTGAACTGTAATTCATCTTCAAGCTCTTCTACTTGAGAACGTTGCTCTGCTAATTGGGACTCGAGTGCACGTTTTGCTTTTTCAAGTTCATGTACATTTTTATCTGCTGTTCCTTGATTGTTTACCAGTTCGTCAAGTTCTGATTGCAAACCACGGCGAATTCGTTCGAGCTCTTCAACTTTCTCATTCATTTCGTCAAGTTCCCGAGTTAAAGATAAGACACGAGTTTCTTTTTCACGAGCTTCGCGTTCGGCAGCATCACGTTGTTCCGCATATTGTTCAGAGACCGCCTTTTCTTCAGCCAGCACCTTTAAAATAGCAGTAATATTAAGAGAAAAATGTTTTCAAAATCCATCGAGTTAATTCTACAAAAATGTAATACAAAAATAAAGTGAAGTTATATTACTAGCAATTAACATCTTACAGACCGTGATTAGTTTGTGAAAAGTGTGCAAAAAGTTATACTTATAATCGTATAATGTGTATTAATAAAGGTATGTCACCTTGTTTTTAAAGGTGGTAATATTAAAATGATATAATGTTGTAACAAATGACATAATGCTAATGATATTATCACGTAAATGCAATTACTAGTCAACATATACATTAATGTATGATCGAGAAGTTGTTACT